GCCATGACAGGTATACTTTAATTAGCTTATTTCAGAACAAAAAGAGCTGCTTATTTTATACTGTTAATGCTATTTTTATTTTTTATAGTTACTTCACTATGCCAAGTTAAAAGGGTTAAAAATGTTTTTGCAATTTGGTTTTGCCATTGAACGTCCTTTAGCTTTAAGTCATACATTAAATTATGTAATAAACAGTTTTTTCACTCTGGGTGATCCTCTTTGCAGCATAACCCATCTTCTTCAAGCAGGAAATTATTGAGGTATCTTAGTTAAATCTGATCCTACCATCTGTTGGAATATGAGAGTTGAATGTTTCCTATAAACCACTGCACAGGATTCATACAAATTCACATGAAGTGCATGCATGCACAGCTTGCCATAAAATATGTGTCATATGAATGTTTTACCTGTAAAGGCCTTAACAATATGTGTTTAAGAGCATTGAAGGTTGAAGTGACACTTGAGGCACCATAATGACTTCATCTCAGGATACATTGCTCAGCATTGTGAATGACAAAAGGAATTGGTATTGCTATTGCTATTGTGTGTAAATGATATCAATAGGAGTGAAGACAGGACAGAATATTACAATTGCCTTTCAGAGATAGGCTCACTCATACCGATACTATTAGTTTCAATTCCTGTTGAATATAAAGCCCTAATATTAAAAATCAAAAACTATCTGAGGAACACTGCAGGCAGGCATCATAACAACTTAATTTCAATGAAATATGTGGGTGTCATGGTCACTGTCTTACCTTTAGGGGTTATACCATTTCAACACGGTTTAAGCCCAAAGTGCTCATGAGGGATGCTGGTCCTCCTATATTCTCTGCCTCCTCCTCCAGCAATGACTTCAATGTGGCTTTCATTTCTATGATTAGGGTTATATATTCTATAGGAAATGACACTAACGATACCAGTATGATTGATTCTACCTTTGAAATGCAATTGTAGTATTCTTTCCAAAAATACATAAAATGTGTACGCACATTGGGAGCACCCCTGAAGGTAAGATGGCAACCAGGACTTCCAGGCACCAAAACAACTACATTGCAATAAAGTGTTCCATTAAGGCAAGATTTATTTTTCTTTCTATTATGTCTATATATTCCTTTTCAAATAATTTTTATTAAAGGATTTTGCAGATTTTACAAATAATAAAGAACAATATATTAGAGAAGGGAAAGGTAGGGTAAAACTGTAAAATGGGAAAAAAGTGGGTATCCATCCATTATAACAGTAAGTATGGGAATGTACAAGGCACTTAAGTTGAATAACATTACATTACAAGTTATGACAGGTTATATGTTTTTTTGACATCGGTTTCCCATTGATCCCAGTGATATTTTAATTGTGCAAATGTGTGTCTGTTATTTCTATGTGATATTTCGTATGATTTGTTTTTTAGTGTTAGTGTCAGTACTTCCTTGATAGAGGGTGTATGTTTAGACTTCCAATATCTATGTAGACATGTGGCAGCAGCTATCAGAATGTGGCCTACTATAATCCTATCGATTCTAGTGCCTTAATCGCAGTGATAAAAGATTGTGGAGTATCAAATCTGCTTAGTGTTTTCCATAGATATCCCCAATGTACCCTGTCAAAAGCCTTCCGTGCGTCCAATGAGAGGAGCAGAGAAGGAGTTTTTGTAGAGTTGATATGTTGAATTAAGTTAATGCGTCGTCTCGTTCCGTCAGGTGCTTGTCTACCCTGAACGAAGCCCACTTGGTCAGGTATTAGGTTAGCTAATTGGTTCGCTAGTATTTTAGAATACATTTTTGTGTCGTTGTTGATAAGGGAAATGTGCTGAAAATTAGAGCATCTGTCAGGAGTTTTTCCCGGTTTTGGCAAGGTGACAATCTGTGCGGTCAAAGACTCCCCCGGCATATTCCCCCCTGGACTTATAGGAGTTAAACAATTTGGACATACGGGGAATTAAAATTTCTGAAAAGGTCTTATAGTATAAAATGGTGAATCCATCAGGACCAGGGGCCTTCCCAGATGACATAAGTTTGATCGCCTCAGCTATTTCTGCGTCAGATATATCACACTCTAGTTTTCCTAAATTATCAGAAGACCGCCACGGCAATGAAACCCTATCTAAAAATTCATTAATAGTCGTCTCAGATGGCTGGGTGAGATTTAAGTCAGATTCCAAATTATAAAGTGCACTATAGTATTTTGCAAATTGATCGCTAATCTTAGTCGGATGGAATGTTTTTTGTCCCTGGTCATCTATTAAGTACACAATTTTAGATTGGGCATTCGCATGCCGGAGTTTGGATACCAGGAGAGTTGAGGCATCAAACATTTTCTTGAGGCGTCTCACCATTATAGTTGTTCGATCCAAGTTTATTTTATGTATTTTTGATTTAATCTCCCCTATCATTGCTGACAGGGAGGAAGATGGGCCAAATATATTTGCCTGATTTAGGTTGTACAGTTCTTTTTCCAAATTTCTTAAATTGCTATTATTTTTTTTTCTTCAAGTGAGAAGCCCTAGAAATGAAATGACCCCTCAACACAGCCTTGTGCGCATTCCATGTCACCTCACCAGGAACCTCATGCGAAACATTTTCCAAAAAATAGTCATTTAGTACCCCCTCAGCGAGCGATCTATTTTCAGGATTATCTAACAAATAATCACTCAGTTTCCAGTGTCTGTTGGGGGAGGAAGAAACCATTTCATCTATATGCAAAGTTATGGGAGTATGGTCAGACCAATTGATATCTAACATATCAGATCTTGAGATGTGTGATATGAGAGCACCCTGTATCAGAAACCTGTCCAGCCTGGAATACATGTTCTTGGATAGGGAGTAGTAAGTAAAGTCTCTCTCATTCTCATGCAATAATCTCCATGGATCATACAGTCCGCATTCAACCATATATTTTGAACATTTCATAGCTAGTCTGTCACTGTCTCTCCTATGGGGTTTGTCTAAATGTTTCCTTGCATTATCTAAGTCACCATCCATAACAAACTTCATATCTCCACACATCACTAAAGTCCCTTTCATATTCCACCTTCCTACTAAAAAAGATAGAAGTACCTCTAGACTTAGACTTGTAATTGCAATGAAATTGGGATGGGAATAACCGTGTCATAAATTTGTACTCTTTTCCTTCCTTAAGATGAGTCTCTTGAATACATACAATATCTGATTTGTTGGATTTAACTTCTTTGAACAATAATCACCTCTTGTGAGCGGTGTTCAGGCCCCTCACATTAAATGACATGAGTTTAATGACCATGACTCAAATCAGAGTACACAGCCATTAAAAAGAGAGTGTATGGAAATGTGGGAACCTGAAGGCCCGCGTCCCAAGAGAAGAATTATGAAATCCAACAATCGTAACAACAAATATATTTGTTTAGACAAGAGTGAGTTTGCTAAAGCATTTGAAGCAGAACCTGGTAACTTCTTAAATTGTTTACAGTGCATAAGGAAGTGGATGGAATAAAAAATAAAAATAAAAAATGGGGAGTGATAAACTTGGGTAAATTCCCCTATACGGGGAGAGAAAAAAAACTTATGTAAAAAAAGGGCCATGAGGGAGAATAAAAAATATTTCTCCATCTCAGGTTATTAGGCCCAGGTTGGGGGGAGGAAAGACTACCTGGGACAGGGGGACCAATGTATGCTTCGATCAAAACTAAAATAGTACAATTAAATAAAAAAATTGTCAAATATAAAAAATAAGTCCTTCCAGTCTTGGGATCTCTGCTGAATTATATAATCATTAGGGCAGGGTAAACAAAAGGGAATAAATTCCTGCAAACTGCCGTGGTACTGAGAAAATTCAAAACAAAGTTTCCTGATGCCGTAACCTATCCCAGTGTTAGGATAAAAGTAATACCATTTTGCAGAAACATCATAAAGTCATGTGACCAAGTTGGCACAGGATAAAAATGCAAAAAGTAAGAAATTAAAAATAGGTAAACAAATTCTTTAACAGCAGAGGAAGTACATCCAGTATGATATGAAGAGAAAATCTGGCAGCTTGTAAAACAAGTCCTGCAGTGATCAAGTGTCATCTGCCTTGCTTTTCTTATGAGCATGCTGTGGGGTTGACGGTGAAAGAGTGCGGGATTGAATCTGTCTTCTATTGATAGTGTTAACAAATTCAATCCCTTCTTCAGGAGTGGAAATCGTGAACTTTCAACCATCCATATTAAAAAGCACTTTTACAGGGAATCCCCATCTGTAGCGTATCCCTCTTTGTCTCAGTTCAGTTGTGAGGTTCTGGAATTCCCTGCGACGCCTCATTGTGTATGCTGAGAAGTCCTGAAAGATCTTAATCCTAAAGATCTTTTATGTGGAAAAGTGGAGTCTTGCTATGGTGTCCTTTGCTGCCACTGCAGTTGCCTTGTTAGATTTAGGTAGACTATGAATGCGGTGTATGAATAAATCCAAATTAGTAGCCTCTGGTAAAATAGTTTTGACCATGGTTTGGAAATATTGCAATAAGTCCGAAGTATCTACAGTGTCAGGGATCCCCCTGATGCACACGTTGTTGCGCCTGTTCCTGTCCTCAGAATCTGCTATTCTTTCTGCCTGCTGGTTAACCTGTTTTTGAAACTACTTTACAGTTATTACCAGGTCTAAATGAGAAGATTCTTGAGCAGACATTCTATGTTCAACGTCCTCCGTGCGTTGACCAATGTTCTCCAGAATCCCGGACATGTTATCAAAATCTTTTTTAAAGTCATTTCTTAAGTCCACATGCAGGTCTTGTATTAGTTGAATTATTAAACCAGCCAATGGTGGTAAATCCTCGGCCATTTCCAATGGTATATTAGGGTTGTAAGTCATAGCCTTGAATCCAGTTGAAGTCGTCTTGGATGAAACAGTGGCCATCTTGGTTGTGGCATTGGTGGTATATGCTCTATTGGTAGCCATCTTGGTTGTGGCTGGAGCTGGGGCAGTGCTGTCATCCATATTAGTGGTGGCAGTGTTGCTGACATTATATTGAAATGAAGTTTGAGACATATTTTAGAATTCATCCTCCATCTCATATTCAGCAGGGCTCTCTGTTGCCCCTTTAACACCAGATATGTGAGGGGAACGAGTGGCAGAGCCTCCCCCTGTTAAGTCTGACTGCCGTGAGGCAGAGGACCACGACAGGGATTGGGACCTCCCTCCGCCCACCCCCTCATCCACAGCCCGGTCTCTTTTGTATGCCAGGGACTGGGATGCTTTACATGTAAGCTGCAAGTGGCTATGAACATCTTTTGCTCCGCTCGCGGGAGCTGATTTCACATGCTCCGATCTAGTCATATGCTCGGAGCGATTGTCAGTTCCCCCTGTGATCGCGGAGTGCTGCGAGCGGGTCGCAGCCGCTCTCGCATATGAGCAAGTATGCGAGAGGATATGGGAGGAGGGTGATGGTTTCTCCGCTGCCACTGATGAAGATTTTTGTGGCGAAATAAGCCACGGGGCTGCAGAATGGGACGGGGAATGTGAGTGGGCTGGCATACCTTTACTTACCCTCACTGTAGTTTTGTCAATCTTCTTAGCTGCAGGAACACTTTTCTCCATACTTCTTTGCTTCTGCATGTTGAGCAAGACTTCTTGCACAAATATATGTACTTTAAAGTGTTGTTTTTAGTTTGAAAATAATAATTATGAAACAAAATTGTCCCCAAGTCTCAGGAGCTTCCCTAGGTGGTGGCCATTTAAGATGGTGGCCAAACTCTGCCCCTATGGCTATATATTCCATAGGAGTTGTAAATAAAAGTATCACTATGAGTGAGTATAGCCCTGAAAGGCAATTGTTGTATACTCTTCTGTCTTTACCAGCTATTTTTTATTTTATTATAACTATCTTTTTGATATGCTTTCCTTTTGAACAACTATTTACAAAGCCAAGTACTGTATTATGAGGTCTATGAGAAACTTTTAATTGTACTTTGAAACATAGCAACAATATGTATCAAACCTCTGACAACAGTTGCAGATAAATTAGGCATACTAGTTTATTAAGATATAAATGACAACACTACAGATAAATGTAAATATTGTATTCAGTTTTCTCCAGTTACCTTAATTTCTAGGAAATTACATTTTAACTTTAAATTTATGTTTTAGTTTATTTTAGTAGGTAAGGGTCCTCTTAAATTGCATATAAGATCACAAAATTATTTTTATTATCTTGTTATCTATTATCTCCACACCTACACATTTCTTTTGAATAACCTCTATTAATAGATTTGCATGCTGAGATCTGTTGACTTTGCAGAATTGTTCTACTTTTTAATCACAATGGTAAACTTAAATCTAAAAATTTTTTGTGAAAATAAGGACATATACAAATAAGACAAAAACAAAACAAAAAGAAGAAATACAAACGTTTAAAGAAAGTCTTAAAGCACCATAACCACCATCGTAATTATTGTGCTAGGATTGCCTTGCTGCCTTCCCACATTAAACAAACACTATAGTGTTAGGATTACAACCGTATTACTAACACTTTACTGCTGAAGTGGCTGTTTAGGTCCCCAGTCCCCCTCTCTGTGGAGTTAAAAGGTTTTTTTACTTACCTTTTTTCCATCGCTGCTGTGGTCTCATGAAAGCTGGCCCCGCCTCCATGGCTGAGATCATCAGTCATGACAATCTCTGCCAATCCAATGTTTTCCCATAGTAAAGCATTGGGAGGCTATTGCATATGTGCTGCAAAACTCAGTGATGTACCAGTCAGCATCTCCTTATAGAGATGCATTGAATCAACTAATCTCTGTGGGGAACATTCAGCATATCCATGCAGAGAAGGGAGATGCTGAATGCCGGTGCTGCACATTGTGCAGCAATTACATAGTAAGCACCGTCTGAATGACTGCACCTAGAAGTGTTACTAGGCAGTTATACATTCAGGACTCCATTTGAGTGTTTAGAGTGAGTTGAGAGCTTAGAAACATAGAAACATAGAATGTGACAGCAGATAAGAACCATTCGGCCCATCTAGTCTGCCCAATTTTCTAAATACTTTCATTAGTCCCTAGTCTTATCTTATAGTTAGGATAGCCTTATGCCTATCCCACGCATGCTTAAACTCCTTTACTGTGTTAACCTCTACCACTTCAGCTCGAAGGCTATTCCATGCATCCACTACCCTCTCAGTAAAGTAATACTTCCTGATATTATTTTTAAACCTTTGTCCCTCTAAAGCTGATGCAAGACATGAAAGACTGACCTGGTATTGAGACCTGTTTAATTCTACACTTAGAGGAGTGCTATAACATTATGGGTGAACATTACCTCACACAGCTGTAACCATCCCAATATACAGAGCTATTTGTATCAGAGATAGCTATGAACAGAGAGGAATTCTTAGCAGCAGTTAAACGTGCAGGCACTCCCTTTCCTGAACAGATCGATTGCAGACTGTGAAGAGATAAGCTCTCCCCCTTAACGCACCCTGAAACTGCTTACACTATTAAAAGATCTTGATCTTCAGTTTTACTGACCTAGGGAAGATTTCTGTATAACTCAAGCCACTTTGTGGATTACAATATTAATGGGCACCAACTATATGCATCAACTGATTGTACCCAATTGTCACTAGAATGAAGCCCAATTTGTGCCGCAGTATTGGACGTCGCTGGGTGTATTCATTGTTCTTTGAATTCATAACTATTTGTATGCATGTATCTGTTATATCCTTGCATGGAGGTGCAATGCAAAGTTATATTTCATAAAACACACCAATATCTACAAATAAAAAAATATATAAATAGTTTAATACTGTATGGATTTAAAAGGTTAGGACTTCTAATACATTTCACTCACAAACATAAAGTTGAAAGAAGGACATTAACTCATCACAGGAGGTAATCTTCTCTCTTCCTGGTTCTTAGTCAGCACCAAAACCATATATGGGAAGAGAGAAATTAACACATAGCATAGAACTTCCTTAGTTACATTTACTATATTTATTTATTGCACTTACAAGATTAAAAACAATTCAGTCATATCACTATATCCACTGGAGTTTAGCACAATCTGAATCTCAGGGGGTGACAAAAAACAACAAACTAACATGTACACAACAAAACTAAAAATAAATACGTAAAATCCGGATGAATAAGTAATAGCCCTACGCATTTCTTCCATGTTCATGGACTTCTTCAGGAGAAGCAATGAAATGTTGTATAGTAGCAACTATTTTGAAATATAAGTTTAAATATTTTTATCCCTTCATACTTTTTTCTTTCACCAGTGTTGCTATTTGAGTGGGCGAAAAGTGTGTTTCCCTTATAAAGTTATACCGTATTTACTCAAATCTAACGTGCACCTTTTTTTGAGAATAAAGTTTCCAAAATTTGAATGAGCATTAGATTTGATGGCGCATAACATTCGGTATTGCATTCCAGTGAATTAAAACTGTTGAATGCAAACTAGTAAATTGAAACACACAAATTGAAACTCACGAATTGAAACTCAAGAACTGAAACTCACAAATTCTAACAGATGAATTCAGGTGAATGTAACTAAAATAATAGATCAGGGTGGTGCAGTAGACATTGCTTAACTAGATTGCATTAAGGCTTTTGACACTGTTGCACAAAGAAGGCTTATCAATAAATTGCAATCTTTAAGTTTGGATTCCAATTTTGATGAATGGGTAAGGCAGTGGCTGAGTGACAGGCAACAGAGGGTTGTCGTTAATGGACTATATTCAATGCTTGGGCTTGTCACCAGTGGAGTACCTCAGGGATCTGTACTTGGACCCATTCTCTTTAATATTTTTATTAGTGATATTGCAGAAGGTCTTGATGGTAAGGTATGTCTTTTTGCGGATGATACAAAGATATGTAACAGGGTTGATGTTCCAGGAGGGATGAGCCAAATGACAAATGATTTAGGTAAACTAGAAAAATGGTCAGAATTGTGGCAACTGACATTTAATGTGGATAAGTGCAAGATAATGCATCTTGGACATAAAAACCCAAGGGCAGAGTACAGAATATTTGATAGAGTCCTAACCTCAACATCTGAGGAAAGGGATTTAGGGGTGATTATTTCTGATGACTTAAAGGTAGGCAGACAATGTAATAGAGCAGCAGGAAATGCTAGCAGAATGCTTAGTTGTATAGGGAGAGGTATTAGCAGTAGAAAGAGGGAAGTGCTCATGCCATTGTACAGAACACTGGTTGTGACCTCACTTGGAGTATTGCACGCAGTACCGGAGACCATATCTTCAGAAGGATATTGATACCTTAGAGAGGGTTCAGAGAAGGGCTACTAAACTGGTTCATGGATTGCAGGATAAAACTTACCAGGAAAGGTTAAAGGATCTTAACATGTATAGCTTGGAGGAATATGATAGAAACATTTAAATACATAAAGGGAATCAACACAGTAAAGGAGGAGACCATATTTAAAAGAAGAAAAACTACCACAACAAGAGGACATAGTCTTGAATTAGAGGAGCAAAGGTTTAAAAATAATATCAGGAAGTATTACTTTACTGAGAGGGTAGTGGATGCATGGAATAGCCTTCCAGTTGAAGTGGTAGAGGTTAACACAGTAAAGGAGTATAAGCATGTGTGGGATAGGAATAAGAAAAGGCTAGAGACTAATGAAAGTATTTAGAAAATTGGGCAGACTAGATGGACCGAATGGTTCTTATCTGCCGTCACATTCTATGTTTCTATGTTTCTATATTTCTATGTAATTCATACAGGCAAATTTAATTCCTGTGAATTCACACAGGCAAATATTGTTCCTGAAAGAGGGCTTAAGAAAGAATTGCCTTAACATGTAACAATGTAACACTAAAATTGAAATACCATCAGTGTTACTATGGTATATGGCAATAAACATTTTAATTGTAGCACAATGTTGTATAGTAGTATCTTCTTGTATAAATGCGCATTACATTCGCCAGCAAAAACATCTTCCAGCTTCCAGGTTTCCAAAACTGAGTCGATGACACATAAGATTCGATGGCGCATTAGATTTGATTAAATATGGTATTTACGTTAGCTCAGTGTCAGTTTTTATTGCTCACTCAAATATGTTCTGAGCAGGACCCCACCACCATACCTGGGATACCCCACTGGGTGGAGGCACTGCCGCAGTCCCCAAATCCCAGGTAGCGCAGACTCAGGAACAACCTGCACAGTGAGCACAAGTAGGTAACTGGGGTAAAGAACTATAGGGGTTTAGGTGGGCCTATACAAAACCCCCTTATAAAACAATTACCAACTGGTTATTTTTTCCATTTGTAATTATGGGTATTAACTCCCATAATTTCCACTGCACTCAGGGCCAGCGTGTCCTATAGGTGGCTTAGCCAGTCGCCTAGGGTGCACCGGCCCGGGGGGCGTCAGATTTAAGTGACCGGCAGGAGGGAAGCGCACAGCACTCCCTCCTTCCAGTCACTCAATGTAGCGTTGACGGGCGGCGTGGACCGCGGTACAGGAGCTTCTGTTTTCAGTACCCGGCCGCCGGCGGACTAACAGGAAGTGCTCACTGAGTGAACACTCCCTGTCAGTCTGCCGGCGGCCGGGTACAGGAAACAGAAGTTCCAGTACTCCATTCCGCGCCGCCCAGCC